TTTTTTTTTTCTAGAGCGACGCTTTCAGGCTCGGACGGCGGTTTCGGTGAATAAATTGGCCGAATGGCGACGCTTCCACGCCGGGCGAATCGAACGCCGACGCAGGCGGGATCGTGTGCAGTGTGTACCAGAACACATCGGAGTTGCTGCTTCATGACGGGGGTGCCACTCGCAGTCCGAATCCATGCAAACCCCATTCATGGAAAGCCCTGTCTCCAGCCGCTCCCCTCTCCCAGTCGGCTCCCCTCCGCACCGAGCTACACCGCTGCCGCCCACGTTTAGCGTCATCAACGGGCGAGTCTGTCGGTGTCGGAACGGCGTCGGTTCCTGTTGCTGCGCCCGTGTCGGAAGTGCGGCTTACGAATGGATGCTCCAAACCTGGATGGATAGAGTCTCGGAAAAGCAACGGATGTCTCCAGGATCCAATGCAGCATCCAAATCCTCAGCGACGTCCAGATCTCGGACGACGAAAGACTGGACCGGGATCTGAGGTAGATCTCGTCGCTACCCTAGCTCGCCAATTAGCCAGGGCATTCACCGAGCCAGTTGCGCTCCTTCTCGTCTTTGTCCGGTGCCTTGACCCTCGTGGGAGGTTGAAAGGTGACAGCTGACGAATTCCACGGTCAGGAAGCTCGACGAGAATAGGCGGAAATGGGGGATTTTCGCTTCTTTGGGCTGGGGGAGGCTGCATGTGGGAGGACGTCGCAGGTCCGGTGCCGACACCGACTGGGCAGCGCTGGACGAAACAGGCACCCTCAACCCTCGGAGCCGTCATCAAAGCTTCCCGCTCACTCTCGCTCCGCCTCGCGAGCCGGCATGAAGACTCGAGGGCCTAGGCCAGTGCGACAAGCATTGCGACTTCCGTGCAGTGTAGGTGCAGCGTCCATGGCAGGCGGAGAGCTGCATTGCAGCTCGGCCGACCGCGGACCGCCCAACACACTCGCATGAGACCAGCTTCGCAGCGGTACTGCTCACTTGTCACGGCCGGCGTTTGAATTCATTTTCATTCTGCGAGTGCTCGACAGCCACATGCGCCCGTCGAACATCGTCTGACGTCGTCCGCACACACTCTTCGGACCGTGCTCCGCCGCTCGGCCGTGCTGGCAAGCCTCACCTCATGCACCTTGCCGGTCGGTCGTCGCGTAAGCATGCTGCTCATCGCCTTGAGCAGGACGTTTTCAGCCGTGTCGAGTGTCCGTCTTGACGTCCAAACATATGTCCAAGTCGAGCATGCACAGAGCTTGTATTGGGAGCACAGCAGACGAGCCACGGCGGATCGTTCCGCCCTGTGCGGACATTAGGACGGATCTCTGCAGTCCGTTGCTACGGGACGAGCTCCGAAAGCTCGCGGCACGCGGAGGCATGGCGGTGCGAGGCCACGTTTCCGTTGTCTCGAAGCACGGCAGCCAGGTGTTGCGGCGGACCGCTGCCTACCGTCGCACACCGACACCCTAGTTCTCGAATTGCACATTGCCGGTTTCGGTCTCCGACGGACGAGCTCGCATTTCCTCACCTCACCACCGACACGCGGCGAGTGCGCTCTATCTCGCTTGCCTTTGCCATTCGGCATGGATTCGGTCCACGAGCGCGGTCTCTGAGACACTCTTGCATCCTCGTGCATGCATGACCATCAAAGTCCAATTTTTGTTGGCCTCCCACAGCTCGGCTTGTTGGCAGAGAAGAGACCATCTCTGCCTTGCCTCTGCCTCGCCTCGCCATCTGGACAGCTGACCGCGGATTCCGCCTGGATGCTTTCAACGTATGATTGAGCAGTGTCGTGGGGTGACTGGATGTTGCTTTGCGAGAGGAAAACGACAAAGGACCGCAGGACTCGGGGCGGGCAGACGACCGATTCGACCCGAAAAAAGAGGGGCGGGGTGACTTCATGCGAACTTGCGGCGTCAAACACACCACGTCTCGGCTGATGGGGCTTCCACCGAGGTGGGGGAGAACGCGCCCAAGCACAGTCGGTTCCAGTCGGTTCCTGTAACCTCTTACATTGCGGCTCAGAGCCTCATCGCCGGGTGCAGCCCTCGAGACGACGGTCGCATGTGCTCGGCGCTCGCTTTGATCTTCTCACAGATAATGCACCTGGATGTAGTTTGTAGCGGCGCTCCAGGTGCACTCGTACCTTAAATCCGCATAGCACCCCCAAGCTCCGAAGCCTGGATCCTCTGTCTCTTCCTGCAAACCGCGCAGTGATCATCCCATCCCAGCTCCCTGGTCCCGCACCCAGACCTGATGTGCATTCGCAGCGATGCTGACGCCTTCGAGAGGACCATGGCCGTGCGACATGACGAATCTCAGACGCATGTAGCCACGGACCCTTCGAAACTCTCGCGTGGCTACCATCTCTCCCCTCTGCTCTTGACAATCCTGGTTGTTGGCAGGCGTACCTGCATCGCTCCCGGCTGCCACCATCTACCTCTTCTTTCTCCTAGTCTGGCTGTCTCCGCACTCGGTGCCTGCGTCTCCTGACGCTGCGCACACACAGAGCCTCACCCACGATTCCGTCAATCTTGAAAAGGGCCCCTGATTCCACCCGAATCGTCGTCGACGCCCTTCTATTCCCGTCTTTCTCGGTCGACATCTGATCCTTTACCGTGCTCCTGCTTCCTCACCGTATATCGTAGCGCACATCCTATCATCGACCCACAGCACACCAGCGAGGAGAGTCAGACGCGCGACTGGACTGCAGCAAAGCCCTCAGCTCGACATCAACATCGCGCTGATTCCAGCCACCGCCGACCTGAACAGCGTCCAGCACCCGCACTGCAGCATCCACGAGCACAGCAGCTCCCTGGTCAATGGGTATCACTGCCGGACCACTGATCGTGATGAGCATGGACGAATTCGGCTTCCTCTCGGAAGCAGGCCATTCGTCAGTACAACCCTCGTACGCGAGCGGCTCGCGCGGCGCCCCACCGCTGCCCCCAACCTCAAGCCAGCGCAGCTACAACTACGCACAGCAAGATCCATGGCGGCCTGAAAACCAGTCGCAGCCGTACGATTGCGACCCGCGCGCGCGTCACCTGTCGATCCAGGCGCGACCCGTCCACGCCGCGAACCCGGCTCCTGGCAGCTCGCTCGGGAGTGAGGTGGCAGAGGAACCGGCGGTGCGAGCCAAGCGTGGATCGAACCTGGCGTGTCTCAAGTGCCGTGCGATCAAGGTCAAGTGCTGGAAGAGCAACCCAAATGACCCGCGGTGCGCGCGGTGCAACCGGCTCGACCTCTTCTGCGAGTTTCGCGAACATCACCGCGGCAAGAAGCTCGAGAAGGTGATTGCAGACGAGAGCCGCAATGTGGTGCTCTCGCCCGACTTGCTGCGGCGATCATGCGAGTACGTGCTCGCTTGCAGCAGCTACCCACTCAACCTTTCCCTTGCAAGCATCGGAAACCCGCAGGGCGGTGCGCACATGGCAGCATTCCAGCATTACCGCGGCGAGGGGTCGATACAAGACTCGCTTTCGTCGAGGGCGATAGGCATGGGAGCCGGAGATGTCTACGACGACGTGGTGCGCACGGGTGCGTGCAGCTGGACGGATGCATGCTATGTCTTCAGTCTGTTCGTCACGCAGCTGAACCCGGTGGCAGCGCTGCTCGAGCCAAGCGTGCACACGGTGCAGTTCATGCGCGAGCAGTCGCCGATCTTGTTCTCAACGATCCTCGGCATCGCCAGTCGATTCTTTCGCCCCGACCTATCAGCCGCCTGTGAAGCTGCAGCAGCGGGCGTTCTCAAGTGTGCAGCGGCCCGCAAGATCTGCAGCGTGGACCACATGCAGGCGCTGGTCGTCTGTCTGATCTGGGCAGCGCCGGGCGACACGACGAGGGACGAGATGCTGGCCTCGGCGTTGGCGCAGGCGTACGAGCTTGGGTTGCCGTTGTGCTTCGATGCAGGCGTACCCGTGGGCGCGACGACCAAGCAGTACACGCCTCCCATGGCACCGCACATGCACGCGGGCTACCAAGCCACGGTGCTGCGCATGCAGCAGCGCACCTGGATGCAGCTGTGCCTGCTCGAGCTCAGCCAGCAGAGCGATGCACATGGCTCGTGGGCCAAGCGTCCGGAGCGCATCGCGCATGCCGACTTTCCGCGTGTGCGCGCCTGGTATGCTCAGCACCATGCCACGCTGGGGGCGTACGAAACGCGCCTGGCGTATCTGCTCGACTTTGCGCTCGTCCAGCGCGAGTCCAACCGCCTCGCAATGCATCCTGGTGCACTGCAGGGATACGCTCCGGACGGCAGCCTCTCTCAGAACGCCAATCAGCTCATGGCCGACGAGCGTGAGTGTCTCACGGCATGGTTCACCACCTATGGCGATGAGCACGTGCCGCGCTATGGGCTCGACCGCTTCGGCCAGGCAGAGGCGAGCTTTGTTGTGCTGTACTATCGCTTTTCCAGGGCGGTGCAGCTGCATGCTTTGACGGGAGATGCAAGCTGGTACGCCGCAGCTACCGAGCTGGCGTACAAGACGCTCGAGACGTTCTGCAGCAAGATCCTGGAGCAAGAGGGCGGATCGATGCTGAGGCTGGGTGCGCAGTCGATGGGTGCAGCGTGTCTGGCTGCAGCACGATGGCTTCTGGGCGGTGCGGGGCATGTGCAGGAGCGCGAACGCGCACGCGAGCGCATCAGCGAGGCGATCCGGCTGCTACGCCAGCCGCAGTTCTACCCGGACGGCAACCGTGTGGTGGTGGCCAACGAGCTGACGGGCCAGCTGGATCAGGCGCTGCGCTCGGTGTTGGGAGATGCGGGCATGGTGGTGGATGCCGGGTGGAGTGGAACGAGCCCCAAACGCAGCCGTGCACAGGGTCGGGCGGAGCAGCTGTACGATTCGGGCAGGGGCGTTTTGGAGCGCCGCTCGCGCAAGCAGGCGCGGCGTGGATCCAACGGCTCGCTCGCACGCATCGAGCTGGGAGGCTTTGGTGGAGGAGCAACGGGATCGGAACCGACAGGCTCTGACAGGGGCGGAAGCGAGTGGTCGGACGATGCAGCCGGTCGCAGTGTGGACGCAGGGATGAACGAGGTGTACTGGCCGCCGGCGCTGCTTGGCACGTCCGGGGGCGACGCAGGCGCCTGGACTCCGCGCTCCGAGGGCGCGCTGTCAAGTATGGCGATGGCATCGTCGATCTCTCCGCCGACTTCGGCATCGTCGGCTGTATTCTCTGTGCAAGCGCCTTCTGTACCAGACCCTCTGGACCTCGGTCTGGGTGCGGGTGTCGCCGGCTGGACTTACGGCTATGCGGACCCGACGGCTTCGTCCAGCACGACGATGGGCGCTCCGGCCACCCCTTACGATGCCTCGCGCATGTTTGACCGTCAACCTCAGCCGAACGAGATGCTCTCGGCGCCCAACGGCGGACCGAACCTGCACGGCATGTTCGCAGGCGAGACCGGCGAGCCGAGCGGGACGGTGGCGGGCTATGGCTCGA